GAAATTAGCCAAACAACTAAAACCAGAAAAAATTAGCCGGGCATGCTGGGACATGCCTATAGTCCCAGCTACTCGGGAGGCTGAGGCAGAAGGATCGCTTGAGCCCAGGAGTTTGAGGTTGCTGTGAGCTGTGGTGTCACCACTGTACTGTAGCCGAGGCAAGAGTGAAACCCTATCTCAAAAAACAAAAACAAACAAACAAAAAATTGTTATTAGTATACGATCTAAACTCCTTAATGTGACACACTACAGGTTGTTCCCAAAGTCTCTCTCCCTAGGGAAAATAGGAGACGTTTTTACCAAATTTTCCCTTTGTAGTCTCCATACAAAGGAAAACTTTTGGAAAATTTTGTAATGAATATTTTGTAAATAAAGGTACATCTGGCTACAATTTTCTCTTTTCCCTATGTATGGTGACACCCTGGAGAGTGCCGTGGCTATGCACAGGTGTGATCATAGCACACTGCAGCCTCAAACTCCTGGCTCAGCCTCCCGAGCAGCTAGGATTGCTAGGATTACAGGCATGCGCCACCGTGGCCGGGCCATCCGATTCCATCTTACATCACCCTGTTGATTACTCGGCCATGCTTACTCTTGCCTCAGGGACCTCACACTTGCTGTTCCCTCTCCTCTCAGAGCATGTTTTCCCCAGATCTTCACCTTTCAGGCTCCTTAAAGCTAAAGTAACCGTATACACCCCATATCCCACTGCCCTATTTTATTTACTTCAAAGTATGTATTGCTATTTGAAATTGTTTGCATGGTAATTATATCTTCCCCAACTAGAATGTAAACCTGCTGTAAACAAGAAATATCATGTCGCTGGGCTTATAGTTAGTACTTGAGGTTTGAATAAGTGATTGGAAAGGCTGGGTTCAAGCCTTGCTACTCAGTGTGGTCCAGGGACCAGCAGCATCTGCTTGTTAGAAATGCAGAGGCTGGGCACGGTGCCTCACACCTGCGATCCAGCACTTTGGGAGGCTGAGGCAGGAGGATCACTTGAGCCCAGGCCATTGCACTCTGGCCTGGGCAACAGAGGGAGACCCTGTCTCAAAACAGAAGAAAAAAAATGCAGACTCTCAGTTCCCACCTCAGACCTATGAATCTGAATCTGTATCTTAACCCTTTGCACTCGGATGTCGAGTGTGACTCGACACGGTTAAGTAGAATAAAGGAATAGAGAAAAAAGCAAGCGAGTCCAGAGTTTAACAAGATCCTCAGGTGATCATACCTACAAGAGTCTGCCAAGCACTGCTTTTGGAGCAATGGTTTTCAATTTTCGAATTGCCCAGAGAGACCTTTAATAGTACTGAAATTCTAATTTAATTGTTCCAGGCATCTGGAGTCTTAAGAGGTCCCCAGGTGAATTTAATGGGCAGCCAAGGTTGAGAACCTCTGCTTTAACAGCTGTGCTATCCAAGTACAGTAGCCCAAGCCACATGTAGCTACCAAATGTAAATTAATTAAAATAAAAATAAAAACAGTCATCAGTTGCTCTAGCCACATTTTTTTTTTTTGAGACAGAGTCTCACTTTGTTGTCCAGGCTAGAGTGAGTGCCGTGGCGTCAGCCTAGCTCACAGCAACCTCAAACTCCTGGGCTCGAGTGATCCTTCTGCCTCAGCCTCCCGAGTAGCTGGGACTACAGGCATGCGCCACCATGCCCGGCTAATTTTTTTATATATATATCAGTTGGCCAATTAATTTCTTTCTATTTATAGTAGAGACGGGGTCTCGCTCTTGCTGGTTTTGAACTCCTGACCTTGAGCAATCCGCCCGCCTCGGCCTCCCAAGAGCTAGGATTACAGGCGTGAGCCACAGCACCCGGCCCTCTAGCCACATTTCATATGCTTAATAGCTACATGAGGGTAGGGCTTACCTTGTTGGACAATGCAGATGTGGAATGTTTCCATCGTGTTAGAAAGTTCTAGTGGGCAGTGTTGCTTAAGAGGGAAGGAACTGAGAGTCTCACTTTTTGATTAAGGAGAGCGTCTTTGGAGGCTGTTAGGTATGAAATGGGAAGTGGGGCAAACTGGGGGGTCCTGAGAACATAAAGATAACCCCCAATTGCTGACTTTTGTCAAATGATTCACACCAGCAGGTGGCTCCTGTGCTTCCAATTACAGCTTGTGATGGAGCCTGAGCCCAGCCTTTGGTGACAAGAGCCCGTGGCAGTCACTGTGCACGTGTTATCATTTGATCCTCATAAATTCATACAAGTATTTTCATTACCCCTTGGCAAGCCGAGGCTTAGGAAGGCTAATAAACTTGCCCAAGGGCACATGGTGACCTGCAGGCAGGGGCACTTAAGGTTCAGCAGGGATCAATTTAGGCATCTATTGGCTGGTATGGTTCTCTAATTTCCACCTATAACAAAACTCTGAATGTGTTTCCCCATAGAAGTAAATCGCCTTTTTGGAATGTACACTGCCTATAGATTAGTAGTTAATGGTAGCTGTATTTATGCCCATTTTTTCTCCACAAGACAAGGGAATTTAACAGGAACTAGCTTGCCAGAAGAGTGTTACTCTCTAAAGCAGCCATCTACCAACTGGATGCGGCCAAGCCCTGGGGTTCCCTGGAAGTGCTGTTAGTGGGGAACTAGGGATTGGAAAGGCAGAGCTCTGGGTGCTACACTTCAACCACAGCACCCTTTATGTACTGGGGTCCTTATAAAACTCCATCTGAGCCCACTGTGCAATAGCAAAATGACAAATATGGATCACATTACAGATGCTCCTTCACTTACCGTGGGGCTACGTCCTGATAAGCCCATCGTAAATTAAAAATATTGTAAGTTGAAAATGCATTTAGTACACCTAACTTACTAAGCATCATAGCTCAGGTTCTCAGCATCATATATGTGCTCAGAACCCTTAGACTAGCCTACAGCTGGGCAAAATCACTGTCCTAACACAGTCTATTTTATAATAAAGCGCTGAATATCTCATGTAATTTATTGAACAGTGAAAAACGGAGTGGGTACTCAAAGTACAGTTTCTTTGGATGTAAGATGTAATAGAATGAAAAAGAGGAAAATTTTATAAAATTTTAATAAAAATAATAAAAAAAAAACAAAGTACTGTTTCTACTGAGTGTGCATTGCTTTCACACCATTGTGAAGTTTTAAAAGGTGGGGAGCGTCTGTACTTTGAAAAGTATGTTAAAACTTCTTGTAATCCTAGCACTTTGGGAGGCCGAGGCGGGCGGATTGCTCAAGGTCAGGAGTTCGAAACCAGCCTGAGCGAGACCCCGTCTCTACCAAAAATAGAAATAAATTAATTGACCAACTAAAAATATATATACAAAAAATTAGCCGGGCATGGTGGCGCATGCCTGTAGTCCCAGCTACTCGGGAGGCTGAGGCAGGAAGATCGCTTGAGCCCAGGAGATTGAGGTTGCTGTGAGCCAGGCTGACGCCACGGCACTCACTCTAGCCTGGGCAACAAAGTGAGACTCTGTCTCAAAAAACAAAACAAAACAAAACAAAAAAACCTTCAAACAAAGGTGAGGAGCCAGCTTCACCTGCAGGTCTGCCCTGGCCTGCTTCACTGCTGTCTGCTACCTGTGCAATGAGAAACGAAACCTCAGCAAGTTCTCCAGCCTCTTTAGGTGCCTTTCTTATAAAACAAAAGAAAACAAACAAAAATCTAGCTTATTATAAATTCTTAATTATATCATATTTTTTCAAGTCAGGAACAAAAATACCCCTACTGTTTATCATCACTATCATTTCGTAAAGAAACATTTTAATGTAAAAAAGAATACAAGGTAAAGCTTTATGAAAAACTGTCCTCATTTTCCTTGCTTTTCTCTCCACTGGTGAAAATGTCTCATAAACTAACACCGGGGTGCATGCTGATGTAGTCTAACCTCCTCGTCCAATGCCACGAGAGCTCCACGCGGTCTTGGCCAAGGCTGACCATCTTCCGTGCTGACCAGAGCACTCTACCTTTATATGATTCCTCTTCAGAGCATAAGCGACCGAGTGGTACAATGGAAAATGCGTGGAGTTTAGAGTCAGGCCAGATTCAAATCCTATCTCTAATCCTCACTGGCTATTCAGCACTTGAAATGTGGCTAGTGCAACCAAAGAACTGACTTTTTATGTTTTATTTAAATTGTATTAATCAAAATTTAAATCATCACATGGGGCTAGCGGCTACCATATCAGACAGCACAGGTCTAGTCACTATATTTCTGTTAAGGCAGTTTATGGCCACATTAGCATTTTTCATTTTGTTTTTTTGAGACAGAGTCTCATTCTGTCGCCCCAGCTAGAGTGCAGGGGCATAATAATAGCTCACTGAAATCTCAAACTCCTGTGCTCAAGTGATCCTCCTGGCTTGGCCTCCAAGTAGCTGGAACTATAGGTGCGTACCACCATATCTGGCTAATTTTTCTATCTTTTCTAGAATTGGGGTCCTGCTCTTGCTCAGGCTGCTTTTGAACTCCTGGCCTCAAACAATCCTCCCACCCTGGCTTCCTAAAGTGCTAGAATTATAGGTGTGAGCCACCCTGCCTGGTGCACATTAGTTTTTGGAGCTACTATCTCACTCTGCCAACTTTCATTGTTTTCTAAATCAACAAAAACCTTTTAAATCCTCCTCATTTTTATATATGCAATCAAATCTTTGTATCCAAATGTTACGTTTCATCTTCTTAAATTAAGCCTATTGCTTCCATTATTAAACAATAGAAACAATCTCCAATGGAGAGTTTTAAAAAAATGCTTACTGTTATCCTAAGTATTAGTTGCAAGTGATAATATTATATCCTAACTAGATCTAAAAGGTTTTCCTTAATTTTTCACCACTATGGCACAATTATGAACATGTTACACCACAATCAGACACTTTCTCGTCTTCACATACTACATAAGCATCCCCTGGCAAGGTGAGGGGAGGTACTTACTACTTGTGTCTCCTCTCTCACCTAGCAGGAACATGCTACTGATTTTAGATGGAGACCCAAAAAGAAATGAATGATACGAGTCAGGAGGTTTAGGTATGAGGCTGATGCCAGATTTAGTTTTTATTATATTTAGAAAAAAAAAAATGTAACTGGAAATAATGGTAAGTCTTTCAAAATGAATTAAGAGTTTTTAAACCCCTACAATTCTTTAATGGCAGCATTTGGACCCACCGCCCAGGCCAGTTTTAACCCAACCAAGATGCTGGAAAGCAGAGCACACAGTTGTTCCCATCAAGCCAAGGAGAGCGATGGACCCCAGGGCTCCTCGACTCCGCTTGCTGGGTTCTGAAAAATAAGCAAGAGCAGAAGTTAGCAGGAATGGTCCAGAATTGATGATGCTCGCAACATCCAGGAGCTATTCTATCAATCATGGCATCCGGGGTTGCACATGAGACAACCTGGCTTCATGAGGTTAACCAGCCCTCAGCCTGAAGTCACGTACTTCCTGACAACTTCAGATACTAAAGCTGTCGGTAAGGGACACCAAGTAACGTGTCCCAGTAGTACTGGTTGGACTTTAGAAAATTATGGGATAATAACTGCATCAATACATTTGCTCTAGGATTTTTAGCAGTATTTCCCTCTTTTTCAAAGGAGGAAATATAGCCAAAAATGTCTTTTTCCCTTCTTTCTCAGGTACACCATTTGCAGTAGCAGTTAGGCTCTGGAATCAGATTGTGTGGGTTTGAATCCTGGTTTAGTAGCACACACTTAGTAGCTATGTGACCTAGACCAATAATGTGTCCATGCCTCAGTTTCCTCATCTATAAAATGGGATATCTATATCACAGAATTGTTGTGAGGTTAAATAGCATATGCAAAGTTCTTAGAATAGCAATTGGCACAAATAAAATGTTCAATGAAAATGAGTTTTGTTACTATTGAAAGGTTAGTTAAGAAAAAGAGAAGATAATAGATCTTTTTAATACCCTTTTTCTTAAAGCCCTAAGAGGAAAAATATAGTAGCATAGGATTTTAATTTTAATTGTGTTTCCTTGTGCATGTACTTACCTCCCGTGTAATAGCCATAAGCATAAAGAACTCGTCCAACAATCCAGGCCAAGCCCAAGCCAGAAACTATACGCTAAGATAAAAGGGCTATGTTAGTATTTACATTAAAGAAACAGGCAAACCTTTATTAACACCTAGGGTTGATTACACAATGTGTCAGCAAAAATTAACAATTTCATGGATTTGCTAAACTACTCCCCACCAAAATTAGGTAGAATTAAGTTATTTGTTTCAGTCAAGACAATCGAAGATCTGTGGTTCCTCTATGAACAGCTCATGGAGCCATGGGATGAGCACTGGCTTCCTAGATAGGTGGGACACAGGGAGCTCCCGGCTCGCCCTGGCATCTTGGGGGAACTTGTGCTGGAGCATAAGAGAAGGACAGGCAGGCCTGGGGTCTCAGGGTTAGCCAGAAGAGGAAACTGTCCCAAAGGCATGGCTAGAGGAAAAGCCCCGTTGTCTCAAATGGGCCTTGGAGCTTGAGACTAGAGCTTGAGACTGACTGAAAAACCCCAGCTGCTGTGCACACAACGTCTCCAGTGAAGCCACCCACCGGCAGGGCTGTGAGCAGGCAGTGCTGCAGGCTGCACCAAGGTGGGGCTCCACGGGACAGAGCGGGAGAGTGTATCATGTTGTGAACCCCAGAATGTGTGGTCTTGGAGGGAAAAGCCTCCCTGTTCCCAACGCCTTTGAGAAGAAAGTCAAAACTTATGTAAGGTGAAAAATCCTTCCCTCTGGGCACCATGCTAGAGTGGCCCCTTTGGCCAAAAGGAGTAAGGGGAGAACAAAGAAGAGAGAATGTGAGAGAGGGCCACTTTCCCTAGTGCCTGTCCCATTTAGCAGTGCTACCACCCAGTAGGCTACTGCATCAGGGTTTTTGTATGGGTTGATTTGGGATAAAGTTAAATATCAACAGGAGCAGTGGCCTCCTCACTGCTCACCAAACGGACCAGCCAGGCGCTGGCCTCCCTCTGGGCTGTTTATGCCTGGATGTCTGGAGACATGTGCAGCACCTGTTCCCTCACCTCCTTTGCTAAACTGTCACCTTCCCAGCAAGGCCCTCCTCCCTGGCCAGCCTGTTCAGAACTGTCCCTGCTCCACAGTCCCTTTCCACCTTCCCTGCTTTGTTTTCTTCCATGCACTCACCGGCATCTAACACACTACATAATTTGCCTGTGTTGCCTTTCCTCTGTGACCTCAACTCAAAGGTAAGCTTTAGGAAACCAGGTGTCTTTGCTGGTTCTGTTCACGGCCAGAACCTTGGGTGGTGAGTATATGTTTGTTGCATGAATGAATGAACATGGCAAATGAAGACTCTCCTGGATATGAAACCTTTAAAATCAGACAGACCTGGGTTCAAATTCTCATACTTCTACTCTGTACCTATTTGACCTTGTGCAGGTTAAATAGTATCCAAGAGACTTTTTCTTATCTGCAAAAAAAAAAAAAAAGAGGGGGGAAACCCCAGCTACTTTAAAGAACTTTTTGTAAAAAATAATTGAATAAAATCCTGTTAAATGCATGGTGCCTAGACACTGATGTTCATTAAATGTTAATTTCCTTCTTCCTTCCCTGATGAGAGCTCAGTAAACTAAATCCAAATAGGTAAACATTCTGTGGCAAAACTTACCGGGTGGTAAACCCCTCCAACAGCTAGAAAAAATAAGAAGGGCGGATACACTTCCAACCTGGAACAGACAGAAAGAAACTTTTTAAAAAGTGCCCCATTTAAGTTTGCCTATGTAGAACCAAGAGTCCTTTACATTCTCACTTGCCAAGTTAGAAACTTGAGAGCAAAAATAAATATTGATGGAGGGAGAAGCCCTGGTCGCTAATATCCACCTTCTTCTGCTTTGCATGGGGTTAGAGGTAACTCAGAACATGCTGAGTGAAAGGACCTCACATCCAATAAACTGAAGAGGAAGGTCTTGGTGAATTATAGTGGATTTCCTTACAGAATCCAAAACTTCTTTGTTCCCTAGGGCTGGGAGATCCAACCTTAATTTAAATGGGACATGCTTCAAATACTGTACAGGGTAATGCAACATTAAAGACATTAAAAAAAAAAAAAGATTATCTAGGCCGGGCGTAGTGGCTCACGCCTGTAATCCTAGCACTCTGGGAGGCTGAGAAGGGTGGATTGCTCAAGGTCAGGAGTTCGAAACCAGCCTGAGTGAGACCCTGCCTCTACTAAAAATAGAAAGAAACTAATTGATCAACTAAAAATATATATAGAAAAAATTAGCCGGGCATGGTGGCACATGCCTGTAGTCCCAGCTGCTTGGGAGGCTAAGGCAGCAGGATCGCTTGAGCCTAAGAGATTGGGGTTGCTGTGAGCTAGGCTGACGCCACAGCACTCACTCTAGCCTGGGCAACAAAGCGAGACTCTGTCTCAAAAAAAAAAAGAAAAGAAAAAGATTATCCGGAAATCCCCACTATTCTAACAACTCTTAAGTTTGCTTAATATTCGATCTGTCCCCATACATAATTTTTAACGAGGTACCCATGATTGTCAACATCACTATGCTCAGCAAATACAGAGCACTAAGGGACAGGGTGTTGGACAGAAAACACCCACTCTGCACATGTCTTTGGTGCCCTGCAGGGCTGACACTCACGTGTTCTGGTGAGCTCTCTGGATGCAGTTGAAGATGTGTCCATTTTCAGGGTCTGTGCTGTACATGGTAGGATACTGTCAAACAAGGCACATGTTGATTAAATGATCAAGAGTACCATTCAGTGTTGAAAGTTAAAATTAACCTTAAAAACAGTATATCCCAAAGTATCACTTACACTCTTAACAGATGGTCATTCTATTTCTGCTTAAATATTTACAGTGACAAGGGTCTCAATTCTCAGAAGCAGATTCAATGTTTTTAGAAAATATCCAGTAATAAGAGTGTATGTCTGTGTTGTAGTTGTACAAGGTAGAGGCAGCCCGTGCCAAACTCAGTGCTTTTCATTGATGTTATGTATCAATGGTAGCTTTCAGATGAATTACAAAGACACCGTAGGGAAATAGCTCTTTCCCAAGAGTCATCAAATACCACATTCTTTTAAGATTTCCCTAATGGAAGAACAGAAATTGACTGTGTGATCATTTTAATGGAAGCATCCATTAGAAGGTGAAAAAAAATAAAAAATAAAAAGGAAGAAACTAGATATGAAAACTTAAAAAAGCTCTCTCTAGTGAGGGAGTTTAATTATAAGTTGCTAAACAGAAATAGACATTTAAAATTGCTCTCACCAGGGACAACCTTAGTAATCATCCCTTCTAGATCAGCTAGAACTGAAGGAAGTTATTTAATAGACCACCTTCCTATGTCCAAGTCCAGGCTAACCTCAGCACCACATGCTTCTTTTCTACTCGGAAAACAGGAAAGCCACCTCAAGACATCATTTTTAAAGTGGCACACCAGGAAACAACGTCACCATTTAATCCTCTGTAGAAAATATAGTAACAAAGCTTCTCAGCAAACAGCTCCAGCCAAAAACCTGCTGTTCTAACCCCAGCATACCCCCAGCAGGGCCCCATAGTTCTTGCCTCTTTCCTTCCAGAAAGGAGCAGAATTTCTAATAGACACAGCCCCGAAACTGCCACTTCCCACCACTAGCTCCTCACCTCTCCCTCCTTGACTAAAGACAAGTTCTTGGATGAGCCCCGCACAAGCCTACAAAAGCACCAGCTTGGGTTCCACTTACCTCCACCTTGTACTTCTTGCGGGCCTTGGCGACATTGATGGCTAGGTGACCCACCATTACAAAGCTGGCAGCACCGGTTAGAAGCACGAAGCCGTATTCCTTAGAGAGGACGGCCATCCTGGCGCTGTGGAAGAAAGAACACCGCGTTGGGACACGACCCCCGCACAGTGGGCATCACAGGGTCTGAGGTCTTAGGGAGTGTGACGATTTATTACATACAGACCAAATGCATACATGCTGATCGAAAGGGCGTGAGTCAATCTGACGTTTCTTTCCTTCTTTTTTCTTTTTTTTGAGACAGAGTCTCGCTCTGTTGCCCAGGCTAGAGTGAGTGCCGTGGCGTCAGCCTAGCTCACAGCAACCTCAAACTCCTGGGCTCAAGAGATCCTGCTGCCTCAGCCTCCCGAGTAGCTGGGACTATAGGCATGCGCCACCATGCCCAGTTCATTTTTTCGATATATATTAGTTGGCCAATTAATTTCTTTCTATTTACAGTAGAGACGGGGGTCTCGATCTTGCTCAGGCTGGTTTCGAACTCCTGACCTCGAGCAATCCGCCCGCCTCAGCCTCCCAGAATGCCACCGTGCCCGGCCAAATCTGACGCCTGCAGAATCCAGGCATGAGCCACCGTGCCCGGCCAAATCTGACGTTTCTAAGAGGTCATTCGTGATACTACCATGTATCATATAACAGAATTTAAAAATTATTCACGTATGCAGTATGCACACAGAAAAGTACGTATTCATATATTGTATTTCCTCTTTTTGTGCCTGGGTTATCTTGATCAACATTATAAGATTTATCTACACCATTGCAATAGTCACTGTTGTAGAGCGACACAGCCCCTAAAAATCACATTTTTGAAAAAATATTTAACGCAACAACATGCTAAAGCATACATTGTTACACGGATAAAGAGAGAGAGGGAGAGTGGGGGAGGAGGGAAAAACAGAGGAAGAGGTGGGGGAGAGGAAAGAGAAAAACAGAATCCAAAACAGCATACACACAGTGATTCCAAGTTTCCTGCCTGAGACACTATAAAAGCAGGAACCTTAGGGCCTCCCTTTGATCCTGGGCACGTGCTGGGAACAGCAGCAGAAATCTCACCCAGGTAGGGCCAGGCCCCACTCGAGGGCTTTGAAAGCAGAGCATGGCTCCTGGGCTTACTTAGGATGCTTTGGGCAGCTCCTGGGAACTTAGGTTGCTCATCAAATCATCACTTCGAAATTTAGCCCCATGAAGTGTTCTGATATCTAGGACTCATTTTGATCCAAATACATAGATCTTATGCATTTTACCCCCTGAAATGATATATGCAAATATAGCAAAATGTTAATCGTAGATGCTAGGCGGTAGCTATATGGATGTTCAATGTGCAATTCTTTTCAACTTTTCTGTATGCTTGAAAATTTTCATAATGACATGTCTGGAGAAAAAGCTAACCCTAGCTCATTTTCCAGTATGAAGTAATTTCTGCTATTTAAGCTACTGTCCTGATCCCCTAGAGGAAAGGAGAGAGAAGGAAGCGAAGAGAGTAGGCATCAAAGTGAGCCACATTTGGCAGGGGGGAGGAAGCCCAACGACCTCACAGGCTCCCCAGCGCCACCCCTCCAACCTCTGAGCTTCGATCAACAGATGGAAGAAGGGTCAGAGCGTGGCAGGACCGAAGGAGCAGCTACCATGCTTGGAGAGACCTCTCACAGACTGCCTGTCGTGCACAAGGCCAACACAAGTCAGCAGCTTCGGTGTGTGTTCAGCTTTAAAATTACCATCCCTGGTAACCGTCTGGCTTCAGTCTCTCCTGTAAACCTCGGGGCGTTACCTCACTCCAAAGTGTGCCCAGTCATCTTCATAAACAAACTAACAAGATGGTCAGTCCTATCCCTATTTTCCAAAGAATGCCTGGAGGTTAAGTACTATCCCCAAGGTCTAAACCACAAAGTAACAAGAGCTGGGATTCAGATTCAGATTCCTTTAGTTCCAACGACCCCTTTCAGTCCCACTTGAATATTTAGAGCCAAACTGACGGGGTATTCTCAGAGCATCTTTCTCAAAATGCAATCTGGGGTTGGCGAGCAGCTCAGCTCCTTAAAAGTAAGTTTCTCTTAGCTCAGAAAAATAACATTCGGGGACTAAATCCTAAAAATTTCCCCCCTTCCTACCAGCTTTCACAATAATTTTCATCAGTTCCCTCTCGAAATTCGTCACCCTGAGCTGCTCTCTGAGTGCACCCACATCCCTCCTCAGAGGGGAGGGGACACAGAGACACACACTGGAGAGGGCTGGCCCCCGGCTCAGCCCAGAACTGCTCTGGTCAGCGGGCCCCACCCATCTGCAGATGGCAGAGTGTTTGGCTGCCCTCCAAGCTTCCCTGTCCTCATTCTCTTCCTACATTTAGAAAATCAGCATGAGGAGGAAGCGATAGTAGTCATTAAAACAAAACTTTCGTGTGAATTCTGAACACCTCTTTAAAATAAAAATGACTCAGCTTTCTAGCCTATCCTTAAAGTTCGACACATTTGGGCCAACCGGGCCACTGAAAATGCAGCCGCAGCAGGGCGCGGTGGCTCACGCCTGTAATCCTAGCACTCTAGGAAGCCGAGGCGGGTGGATTGCTTGAGGTCAGGAGTTCGAAACCAGCCTGAGCAAGAGCAAGACCCCCGTCTCTACTATAAATAGAAAGAAATTAATTGGCCACCTAATATATATAGAAAAAAAAATCAGCCAGGCATGGTGGCGCATGCCTGTAGTCCCAGCTACTCGGGAGGCTGAGGCAGGAGGATTGCTTGAGCCCAGGAGTTTGAGGTTGCTGTGAGCTAGGCTGACGCCATGGCACTCACTCTAGCCTGGGCAACAAGGTGAGACTCTGTCTCAAAAAAAAAAAAAAAAAAATGCAGCTGCCTCTAACTCTCTCAGAGCTGCCTGTTCAAGGAGAATAAAATTAAGCATGTTTGCATTAGGTCAAAGTCTGTAAGCCAAGAGAGTCTGCTTCCTTCCAGACCCTAACCTTTGGACGGCTCCCGGACTCCCTGGCTGGGTGTGGATTACCTTATGTTGGTGCAGCACTTTTCAGCTCCCTTTTAAACTTCACAAAAATCCTAGTAGCTCCATTTTACAGAAAAGGAAATGGAGGCTCAAGGAGATGAGGGCAGAGCTAAGAACAAGGCAGGCTTTAGAATTCTTCCCCAAAACAAGTCAGGCACAGTGGTTCACGCCTGTAACTCCAGCAATTTGGGAGGCCAAGGTGGGAAGATCACTTGAAGCCAGGAGTTCAAGACCAGCCTGAGCAACATGGCAAGCTCTCTCCTTTATAAAAAGTAGAAAAATTAGCTAGGTGTGATGGTACATGCCTATAGTCCCAGCTACTCAGGAGGCTGAGGCAGGATTACTTGAGCCTAGGAGTTTGAGGGTCCAGTGAGTTATAATGAGGCTTACTGTACCCCAGCCTGGGCAACAGAGTAAGACTCAAAAAAAAAACCACCAAAAAACAAAAAAAGGAATTCCTGTTACAAACACTTCAGCTAGTCCAGGTAACACATTAGAACTTGGTAGCTTCTTCATTGACCTGTTTTTCTGATTTGTCAGGGGTTGGGGTGGGTAGGTGGCAAGACAGAGAAGCGCCTCTCGAGTAGATGTCTCTGTTGCAGGCAAGAAACACTCTGGAAAGCAACTGATCTACAATCTACAATTAGAATCTACAATTAGAAATTAATATTTGCTCCTGAGCTCCTCTTTCAAGGTATATGTGCAATCTACAAGGTTAAACCTGTTAGGCATTCGCACCTTAGTGGAAGTTACCCCCCTCATGCTTTGTTAAGGTGGTGTGTGCGTGCTGAGTAGGAATCTGGACCGGGGCAGGCAGGGCCAGAACACTAAGTACCTTCGAAGGGCAAATTCGCAGGAAGATGGACCCACAGTCTGACTCTAGAGTGGATGGTTTGCAGAAGACACATAATCAGTCACAGGGACAGTGGGAGTGCACAGGGCAGTAGCGTGCCTGCTCTCCCTGCGGGGGACACACCTGCATAGGTGCAGGAGCAATGACTGCAGAGCTGCCTGAGAGAAGAACTCTCCTAGACATCTCCTTGCACTCCTACCAAGTGAGGAGTCCTGCTTCATACGCCGTAACAGCCTGTACTTGAAACAGAAAGAGCGGCCAATTATAACAGCTGCTAAGCTTCCATGAGGGAGGGACCATATCTGTCTGGCATCTCCCATGCCAAGCAGAGTGCATGCTCATAGATGCTTGCGGAATAAATGATTCAGCTGCAACACCAGGTGGCTGCCACGTGCCTCTGAGATAATGTCCACCATCTGGCACGGTGTCTGGTATAAGGTATGCACCTAACCAATTTGAGTTTCCTTTGCTTCCTTCAAAAGTATCTGTTGAAACCATGGAAGAAGCTGGCTGTATCAATTACTTAAGAAAGAGGAGTTTAGAACACAGAGAAAAGCTATCATCATAGCTGCTAAATCCAATGGGGAATGAAAAATGGTTAAGGTTTGTCTTTTAAGGAAAGAATCAGCTTAATTAAAAAAAAAATTTTATCTAGCTGGGCATGGTGGCGCATGCCTATAGTCCCAGCTACTTGGGAGGCTGAGGCAGGAGGATTGCTTGAGCCCAGGAGTTTGAGGTTGCTGTGAGCTAGGCTGATGCCACGGCATTCTAGCCCAGGCAACAGAGTGAGACTCTGTCTCAAAACAAAACAAAGCAAAACAAAATAAAAACAAACAAAAACTTTATCATTTGCCAAGCTCTTATTTTCTGAGGCTTTCTTATTCACTCACTGACTCACCTAGGGCAACTTCCAGTCCTACAAGCTCCATTCATGAAAAGAACCCTATAAAGGTGTAGCATTTTTAAAGTCTTTTTTTTTTGAGACAGAGTCTCACTCTGTTGCCCAAGCTCGAGTGCCGTGGCATCAGCCTAGCTCACAGCAACCTCAATCTCCTGGGCTCAGGAGATTCCTTCTTCCTCAGCCTCCCGAGTAGCTGGGACTACAGGCATGCGCCACCATGCCTGGCTAATTTTTTCTATATATATATTAGTTGGCCAATTAATTTCTTTCTATTTATAGTAGAGACGGGGTCTCGCTCTTGCTCAGGCTGGTTTCGTGCTCCTGA